TCTATGTCAATCTTGATACAATCCTGATATAATCAAGATACATATAAGATATAATCAAGATACAGTCAAGATGTTCTCTCCTAATCCTATGGTGTTAGAGAATATGAAAAGTACCATGGACTGTCAGAGAATAAAAAATCTTAGAAAAAATACAGCTAGAATGTTTAGAAGCCAGGATGGTGAGACTTGTCTCATACTTTGGACAAATTCTCAGGAGGGACCAGTCCCTGGAGATGGACATCATGCTTGGTCAAGTGGAGGGTCAGAGATGGACTGACACAGGGCAGTAGCAATGGGCTCAAATTTAACAAGAGGCATGGGGCCAGCCAGTGTTTTGTTCTGTTGTGCACAGGGTTGCTGAGTCAGAATCACTGGACAGCAGCTAACAACAACAACAACAACAAACTGGGGGGCGGCGGGGGAAGTTTACTAAAGCGCCCCCTTGTGGTATTTCTGTCCTAACACTAGAGAACTAAGACAATGGGTGGTGGTTCTTACTGTTAAGTGCCATCAAGTCGGTTCTGACACACAGTAACTCTGTATAGGGTTTCCGAGGCTGTAAATCTTTACAGGAGCAGAAAGCCTCATCTTTCTCCTGAGGAGCAGCTGGTAGGATCAAACCGTTGGCCCTGTGGTTTGATTGAGTCCAGTGGTTATCCTACAGAGCCACTGCATTACAAGTATCTGAATCCCAACTGTACGGATCCTTTATCCCATGAGCCTCACCACCTCACATGAGCCTCCGGTGCCCAGTGACGCCCAGACTGGCTTCTGACCACCGAGCTGTTCTCACAGCTGAGACTGGAAACCACTAACACATGTGGTCCCTGGAGCCAGACAAGCCCGAGCCCTGGGGAGCTGGTACTATCACCTGACAGCATACAGTGTGACAGCTCGAGAGAGCGTGGACCTTCCTTCCCAGGGTCCAGGAGAGAACATGTGAAGTGACGGTAAAGCAAGGTGGCAAAAATGTTAAAGCTGGGGACCTGGGTGTGGTCAGCAGTTCTTATCACTGCCACCCCAGAAAAATGTCCTGCCCTAACCCCTGGAACCTGTAGACACGTTATCTTCCATGGCCCTAACACACATGGCCCTGGATTAGCCCTCGCCAAACCATAAAATCCAGGGCTTTCAAGTCAGTTCCAACTCACAGTGATCTTACAAGGTGTCGTCTTTACAGAAGCCGACTGACCCATCTCTCTCCTGAGGATTCAAACTGAACTTTCATTTGATAGCTGAGAGCTTTAACCATTGCGCCACACCAGTACTCCTCTATACGAGGGGGCTTCATTGTTGTTATTAGGTGCCGTTGAGTCAATACTGACTCATAGCAACCCTACTTAAGAGAGATGAAGTCTTCCAGGGAACATTCTGGTCATAGTTCTTCCAATGTAGACTGGATTATTCTTTTGGCAGTCCATGGTACCTTTAATATTCTCCTCCAACACCATAACTCAAATGCATCAATTCTTCTATGGTCTTCCTTATTCATTGTCCAACTTTCACTTGTGTATGAAGATATTGAAAATACCCTGGCTTGGGTCAGGTGCACCTTAGTCCTCAAACTGTCATCTTTGCTCTTCAACACTTTAAAGAGATCTTGTGCAGCAGATTTGCTTAATGCAACAAGTCATTTGATTTCTTGATTGCTGCTTCCATGAGTATTGATGGTTGGTCTGAGCAAAGTGAAGTCTTCGATAATTTCAATCTTTTCTCCATTTATCTGGATGTTACTTATTGATCCAGTGGGGAGGATTTTTGTTTTCTTTACATTGAAGTGCAACCAATACCAAATGCTGTGCTCTTTGATCTTCATCAATAAATGTTTTAAGTCCTCTTCACTTTCAGCAAGCAAGGTTGTATCATCTGCATATCACAGGTTGTTAATGAGTCTTCCTCCAATCCTGATACCACAGTTTTCTTCATATAATCCAGCTTCTCGTATTAATTGCACAGCATACAAGTTGAATAAGTATGGTGAAAGAACACAATCCTGGCGCATACCTTTCCTGACTTTAAGTCATTCAGTGTCCCCTTTCTGATCATAGGAAAGTGAAATTAAAGGATAATGGAGAAACAAGAACAGTAGTAAAGTATGCTCACCATGGAACAGTCAAGCATTCAGGATCAAAAGGGCAATGTTCACCTAAAGAAGCTGAGAAGGGACCAAAAGGAGGGTGGAATGGAAACAGAAGCCATAGGGCGGAAGAGGGGTAACTGCTGCTACACAGTGGGGACTGTAATCATTGAGATGAAACAAAGTGTATGAATTCTTGAAAGTAAAACTGATCAGCTTATCTGTAAACCTTCACTCAATTCACAATAAAAGTCTAAAAACAGATAGTGGATTTCCCCTGCAAATTTCACTGAATCCAGCCTCCATAAAAGAAGGAGTGGGAGGCAGAAGAGAGACCCAGAGAAATGGCAGTGTGAGGCTTCAGGTCTCGGTTGGCAAGGCTCTGAAGATGGAACACGGGGCCACAAGCCAAGGGGTGCAGGAAACACAAGCTGCAGAAGGCCAAGAAACGGGTTCTCTCTCTGAACCTCCAGGAGGAATGCAGCCCTGCCCACAGCGTGTTCACCCCTGGAGCTTGCAAGCCTGCCACAGGCTGATATTGGACCCCATTGTGTATTTCTGACCCCCAGAAGTGTAAGGTAATCTTAGTGCTTAAAGCCACCATGTTCATGGTCATGTCTTACAGCAGCAATCAGACACTCCTACTCCAGATGAAAGGCATTTGATGTTCTTTGTACTGCACTTTAAATTTAGCATTATTTCCTGATTGAGAAAAACAAAAACAAAAACGTGGAAGTTGTTTTTGAACTAACACCTCTAGATAATATTTTACATAAAATTAAATTGAGGGAGAGATACAAGGGGGCTTTCAAACGGTTAATAGAAAATGGAATGAATAAAATAATGGCATTTCTCCCATGAGCCTTTCAACTTCCCTAAAGTATATCAAGAGTTTGTATAGATAGGTAGTCCCTGACTTAGGATCATCCTCGTTCATTTTTTAACCTATTATCACTAGTACTAACTTACAGTGTAGACTTTGTTGATGCTATCATTCTTAGATGTTCAACTTTATGATGTACAGTTCAAAACACTGCCAGATTTATACAGTTATTAATAATCATAGGCAACAATAATGAAAGCTAACAGAAACAATCAGGAAGGGATCTGATTTATATCAGAACTGTCTTCAGATGGACAAGAACCCCGCCGTAAGTCAGGGACTACCAGAACTCCTGCGGGGGAGGGGAAGCTGAGAAAGCAGTGGGTAGCGGCTTTTCCCCATCCACACTTTTGCACTTCTCCAACTCTCTACCACAAATACGCATGAGCTCTTTAAGAGGATGAAACAGAAGGTGTGGGTTTGGGGGAACCTGGGGCTCCACTCACCGAAAGAATGGCCTCCTTGATGTGAGCGTCCCGCTCGTCCTTCCTCAGGGTGGCCCCTGTGAGCGGGCAGGTAAAGTACACTCCAGGCACTGCCAGGTGAGCTGAGCCTTCCTCTCTGGGCTCAGGGACCTGGGAGTGAAAGCGTCTGGGGGTGAGGCCTCAGAGCCAACCTCCCTGGTCCTAGTCTGCACCACAGCTCGGGCAACCACCTAAGTCCGGATCCCAGTCTGTTCACCGGCCTGTGAAACATCCATGCAGGACAACCTCTGGATTCAGAGAGGTCAGGCACATAGAGCACCGTGAAGCAAGTGTGCACCCAACACTGGCAGTCCCGCCTCCTGTGGCTCCTCAGTGGGAACCCCCTGTCTCTCTAGGGCCCCTTCCTAACATGCAGTGAGTCTCCCCTGGCCAAGCTGAGTGGAACCCTTTTCCTCCGGAGGAAAGTAGGAGCAGAGGGCAGGGGTGAGGGTCCAGCTCCAGCCCTGGCCCTGCCCATTAGGGCTGGCTGCACCTCTCTAAAGCTCAGTTCCCTCTTCTGAGAAGTGAAGGCACCCACAGGCCTGAGCACTCAGGCAGCACTGGGCCCAGGTGACTGGTCAGTGTTCCATTTGTTCTAGCCACAGTTCCCCCAGCCCACCTTCCCGCTCCCAGGGCCCTGAGGTGACTGTGACGTCTCTCCTGGGTCTTCCCTAGTTCTTGGCTGGGAAGGAGGAAACGGTCAACTAGTCCCAGGCAGGCCCCTCCTGGCCCCCTCCCCTCCCCTCCCATCCCTCCAAGCTTTACCATGTTGGTCTCTGGGGACTCTGGGCTCCCGCTGGCAGGTGTTTCTGCTTGAAGTTCCTTTCTCACTGGAGGGAGAAGTAGGATGAAGATGGGATGGTGTGGGAGTTCCCTGCCCCACCCAGAGACCCAGCCACATGCTTGGCATGCCCCTCCCTGGACCTTGACCCTCCTGAGAGTCCCTCGGCCAGTGCCACCCTCCCTCACCTCTAGCTACCAGGTGCTCTTCCCCTCAAGTCTCAGTTTCTGTCTCCCTTCTTCAAGGGTGCTCCCCTCCACCCAGGTCTACTACTATAGCAGACCCTAGCCTCACCCATCCCTGGTACAGGCCCCTCTGGACACTCTCACCATCCCCCAAAGTCACAGGTCAGGCCAACATGTTGCAGAGCTGCGCCCACTGAGACGCTCACCCTGGTTCCGAATGGAGTCCTGCGAACTGGGGCCCCGGCCTCGGGGCTGCTTCTGCTCCAGCCGGGCCAGGGCCGCAGCGGCTGCCATCTGTGCCTCATTGGTGGGGCCTGGGCGGGGCTGCTTGAGGGCCGGCTGGCTGGCCTTGTCTCTGGGGGCCCTCTCCCTGAGGCCAGATGGAGAGACATGAGGGAGTGTCGTCTGGAGGTGATCAGCATGGCAGAATGCGTGGCATCCATGGAAACTTCTAGTCAGCCTTCCACCACCCATCTCTCTTTCCAAGACATTTCCTCCAGCCTCCCCCCACCCCAAGGCCAAGAGAGAATTCTACTGTAGGTGAAGCTGGGGCCCCTGGGGTAAGTCCTGCACCCAGCCTGGACCTCAATGCCCCCAGCTGTACAGTGGGGGTAACAGCATCCCACAGGGCTGTTAAGTGTAGAAGCACCCTAACGTTTGCTCTCCTCCTCTCACCCTATGTGTCAGAAGGAGCCCTAGATGAAGCATTTCACCCACTGCTCCATGGGAAAAAGACAAGGCTATAAAGACTGAAAGCCCTAAGGGAGCAGTTCCCCTCTGCCCCAAAGGGTCGCTGGAAGTCAGAACCCACCCGTTACAGTGTGTCAGACACTGCGCCTGCTTCATGCTGGGACTCAGCTGCTTTCCACCTCACTATGAGTCTCTGAGACCCCCTTCTCACAGACAAGACATTCCTGATGTTCAGGCAAAATGCCCTGGTCACGGCACACTGGTGGCAGGCCCGAGGGGTCAGTCACTGACAGAACCACCCTGACTGGCAGCCTTATGTCAAGTCTGGCTCCATGTCAGTTACAATGACCTTGTTAATTTCACCTGTATCCTGGTACAAGGAGGACAGTCATTATCCCCATCTGAAGGATGGCTTTGTGGTGCCAAAGGTTCGTAACTGAAATGGGGGCACCGACAAATGAGGGTGTTGAAAAGGATTTCACTTAGCCTCAAGTAAACAAAACCTGACCAGCCATCTTGTTGTTGTTGTTGTTGTTAAGTGCCGTGGAGTCGGTTCCGACTCATAGCGACCCTACACAGGGTTTCCGAGGCTGTAAATCTTTACGGGAGCAGAACGCCTCATCTTTCTCCCGCGGAACCGCTGGTAGTTTCGAACTGCTGACCTTGCGGTTCACAGCCCAATTCGTAACCACTATGCTACCAGAGCTCCTCGACCAGTCATCTTAGAGTTAATTTAATAGCCGCCCCCCCAGCCATATTCCATAATCAATCGCTCCTTTTCAATCTCCAAAGCGGAACTTTTTGTTTTACTATTCCAAACAAGGCAGAGCAGCTCTCCTCCCAGGAACAAACACAAAACTGGCAAACAAGAACTTCTGAGTAGTAACTGTGGGGAGACTCAACCACCCTAACTACTGGAACAGAAAAACAATACAATAATGCTTGACCACAAGTGTTGGGATCCTGATTTTCTTCCCCCCTTAAAGCCCCAGCCTGCCCTGCAATCGGGGAGGCAGATCGGGAAGATTCCAATGATTCCGTATACTCCTATCAATATGTAATAAATGCTTTGCTCTTGGCTCTGGGATGTCTCAGCAACAGGCAACAATAACCCTTTCACAGTTCCACTCTCAGCAACTAAACTAACGCTTGGGGGTTTGAACCCACTCAGTGGCACTGCAGAAGAAAGGTCTGGTGATCTGCTTCAGTAAAGATTCCAAACCCGCTGCCATTGAGTCAATCCTGACTCATAAGAGACCCTACTGGGTAGAGGAGAACTGCCCCTCAGGGTCTCCGAGACTGCAAACCAGACCACCTCATCTTTCTCCCATGATGTCACTGGTAGATTCGAACTATCAACCTTTCGGTTACCAACTGCAGTGCAGTGAATTACTTCCTATGACTCTTCTACCCATAGTCTCTAAGGAGCTTTGGTAAGATAGTGAGTTACGTATTGGGCTGCTAACCACAAGGTCAGCAGTTCAAATTCACCAGCCACTCCTTGAGAGAAAGATGAGGCTTTCTGTTCCCATAAAGATTTACAGCCTTGGAAACCCTGCACAAGGTCACTACGAGTTAGAACCGACTTGATGGCGCACCACCACCACCCAAAGTCTTTGTAACTCCCACCAACCTCATTTGTTTTGTTTTCTTGCCTTGCTGGGTCTGGGTGAGAAGGTGGGAGAAGATGCTGATAGGATGATAGGCTTCAGTTGTGAGTGGATGCTGTTCAGTGCCATTGACTCAGAGTGACCCTGTACAGGGTTTCTGAAGCTGACTGGATCGTTAGCGGAGTTCAGTGCTACTGTGAATAAAACCAGCCATCTCAGAAGCGGGAGGGGGGATCTCATTACCATCAAAGAGGAGAAGCCAGGAGTAGAGCATGTCCTCTGGACCCAAAACCTCCTCAATCAGGGACACAAGGTGTCACACCGGAAGAATGGCAGAGGAGAAGCAGAACCAGGAGCCAGATTACAACAGAGCAATAGGCTTCCCAAACCACGGAGCAAGTCAAGTGACTTTGAACCCAGTGAGGTGCCTACTGGCACTTAATTGGGGAAAATAGGTTTGCTGAGCCGTGGAGCTAGAGCTGAGGGTCTTTATAAGCAGCCCTAAAACTGCTTTGTACCATTGCCCAGACAGAGAGAGGAGAGACCTGTGCCCCGAGCATTTCTGAGCCTGAACTGTAACCTGCCTGACTTCCTGGTGTGGCACAGGATAAGCACTGGACTGCAAGGTCCTCTGAATTGCAAGGTTGGCAGTTCAAACTCACCAGCCGCTCCTTGGAAACCCTATGCAGGGTTACTATGAGTCAAAAGAACAATGAAGAATCTTGGCTGAAAGCAGAGAATAACAGAACGATGTTTCCCTGTGCTTTATTGACTATGTAAAGACTTTCTATTGTGTGGGTAATGACAAACTACGGACAACATTGCAAAATATGAGTATTCCAGAACACTGAATTGTGCTCATGAGGAATCTATACAGAGATCAAGAGGCAGTTGTTTGAACAGAACAAGGGAACACGGAATCGTTTAAAGTTAGGAAAGATGTGCACCAGGGTTGTATTCTTTCAGCATACTCATTCAGTCTATACGCTGAACAAATAATCAGAGAAACTAGATTCTATGAAGAAAAACATGGCAACAGGATTGGAGGAAGGCTCATTAAAAACCTGCGATATGCAGATGATACAACCTGGCTTGCTGAAAGTGAAGAGGACTTAAAATACTTATTGATGAAGATCAAAGAGCACAGTCTTCGGTATGGGTTGCATCTCAGTGTAAAGAAAACAAAAATCCTCACCACTGGACCAATAAATAACATCCATATAAACTGAAAAAGGATTGAAGTTGTCAATGACTTCATTTTGCTTGGATCACCATCAACACCCATGGAAGCAGCAGTCAAGAAATCAAATAACGTATTGCATTGGGCAAATCTGCTGCACAAGACCTATTAAAGTGTCAAAGAGCAGATGTCAGCTTGAGGACTAAGGTGCACCTGACCCAAGCCATGGTATTTTCAGTAACCTCATATGCATGCAAAAGCTGGACAGTAAATAAGGAAGACTGTAGAAGAATTGATGCTTTTGAGTTATGGTGTTGGAGGAGAATATTGAAAGTACCATGGGCTGCCCATAGAACCAACAGATCTGTGTTGGAAGAAGTGCAGCCAGAGTGCTCCTTAGCGGCCACGATGGCCAGACTTTGTCTCTCATACTTCAGACATATTGTCAGGAAGGACCAGTCACTGGAGAAGGATACTCTGTTTGATAAAGTGGAGGGTTGGAGAAAAAGAGCAAGCAAGACCCCCAGCGAGGTGGATTGGCACAGTGGCAGCATCAATGGGCTCAAATGTAGCAACGATTGTGAGGTTCACCCAGGATCGGGCAGTGTTTCATTCTGTTGCGCACAGGGTTGCTATGAGTCGGTACCAACTTGATGGCACCTAACAACAACGAGTCAGAACTGACACCATGGCACTGAACCACAACAAATTCCCTAATAAACCCTTAAGTGTGAGACTGGTGTCTGAGTTCTGTGTGGCCACTGCAACAAATTAGTGAACGCAGCTGAGTAGAGTGCAGTTGGCGAGACCGTTGGTGCATGCGCGTAACCTAGAGCACCACCAGAGTTCCTGGCTCTGGATGGAAGAGGACAGCTGGAAAAGCCCTGTGGGGCAGTTCTGCGCTGTAACACATGGATCGCCAGGAATTGGCACCAACTTAATGGCAATGGGTTTGTTTCTGGGTTTGTAGGACTGGCTTCCTGGTCTACCAGGCAAGAACCATGACACAACTGGCCTGTGTGGTCCCGGCAGAGAGCCCTCCCCAGGTCTGGCTGGGCCCATCTGCCTCTCACTCTTCTGTGCTCCTCACTCAGTTGTTCCGAAAGCCAGTGCTACCTTGTCAGGACCGCCCACTTTGCCCCATTCTCATCACCTTGGCCTTCCTGTCTCTCCTGTCCTCCCCATAGCACCACTAGGGTCTGAAGGTCTAAGGTACGTCATGGAGATCCACCCAAATGTGCTTTCTAGATCTATCTATAAAAACTGTATCTTCCCCATCCCCTGTACACAGGGCTGATAGGGATGGGCAACTTAGATATTGGCTACCTAAAATGGAGGGGGGTGGGATAATTATAAAGGCATGAAGTGACTGGCTTACAAGTTTTCAAGAGGGAGTTTAGTTTCACAGTGTGTGGGGGAAGGCAGAATCCCCACTGAGTGGTTTTCATCCTGTCTAGATGGGTCTGGTGAAAGGAGACGGGGATAAGACTCTTATGATTCACTAGTGAGTAACTGTTATCGTGACTAATTGCAATGGTCACAACTGTAAAGGTAGAAGTTTACAAAAGGTAGAAGTTAGCAAAAAAGGGGGAGTGGCTGATCTTACAGTCCAGGAACAGACGACCCTGGGACCACCAAGGGAGAAGAGCAGGAGCAGAGCGTGGGACCCTATCCAGAGAAGCAGTGAAGCCAGAGATGGAGGCTGAGATGATGATGTGGAGAGATGGAGCAGCTGAGGACTCTAGACTCATGGAGGGAGAGGGATGTGTGCTGGTGGCTAGGGGGCATACTTGCAGGGTGTGCCCTCTGGTTGTTTAAATGATAGTCTATTCCTGAGTGCTTTGGTGTACATCCAAAATACAAAAACAAAAAAACAGAAGAAATAGAAGCAAATACTGTTGAATGATGATGCATGGAGAGGACTGTAATCATTGCAGTGAAATGGAATATGATAGAATTAGCGTAAAACTGATGTTCTCCCATGTAAACGATCACTCAATTCCACCCCCCCAAAAAAAATTAGAAAGGCTAATCCTAAACCTAAAGAAAAAAAAAAAAGGAATAAAGATGAGTGTATGAAACATCTTATAACAACATGGATGAACCTGGAGGACATTATACTGAGCAAAATTAGTTAATCACAAAAGGACACATGTTGTATGAGATCACTAAGGTAATACATCAAGAAAAGATTTTTACACTTATAAAAAAACCCCAAAATACAAAAAACAAAACTGCATCTCCCAGAGCAGGTGCTGCACAAAGCTCTACACAAAGCCCCACCCCCACCCCCCAAGCAGAACCACATGCAGTGCCCCCCTTGGCTAGTGAGGCCCCTCAGAGCCAGACAGCCAGCGCCCCTGTCTGCCCCTCTATCCACACAAGACTACAGATTGCTCTCTAAACACACCCACCTGCTCCCACTAAATACCCAGAATGCTCCCCGGGGGGAAAGGGGTGATGGTGAGGGGTTGACATCCAAACGGCCCAGTCTCTCACATTGTCACCTTCTCAGAGAAGCCTTCCAGGAGCACTGAGCTGTCCATACCACCAGATTACCACCCAGCCCTTCAGCATCCAGTCACTGGCTTATCTGTCCACTGGCCCTGCTAGTAAGTGAATCTGGGAGAGAGGACCTGGCTGTCCACTCCTTAGTGAGCCCTGGGAAGTCAGAACTTGTCCTTCCACCTGGGGGCCAGTCCCAGGAGAACAAGACCTGGCCATGCACAGTGGTTGAGTCTCTGGAGAGCAAGCCCTGGGAGAGTGGGACGTGTCTGTCCACCACAGTCGATTGGACACACCCTGAGTCACTGAGTCTTGGACTTGCCCAACATGTCACAACAGCCTGGATCCCAGCCTAAGTCAGCAAGCACCCCCATAGCCCCTCCCTCTCCTTGTGTCACACAGTCCCAGCTGCCCCAGCCTCCTCTCCACCCACTATTTGTGGAATCCATGAAAAAACTCTTGTCTTGCCCAGCAGAGCCCTCCCTTACTCTCCCCAGTCACCCTAATTTTGTCTCTGGGTGACACAAATGGTTAAGCACAGGACTACTAGTCAAAAGGTTGGAACCCACCCAGAAGTGCCTAGAAAAAAAGGCCTGGCAATCTGCTTCCAAAAGATCAGTCCTGAAAGCCCTACAGAGCACCTTCCTAGTCTACACACTGGGGTCACTGTGAGTCAGAACTGACTTGACTACAACACAAGCTCCCTCACTTACAGACCTGGCCCTCACCGGCCCCCTCCTTTTGCTGAGAGCCCCCAATCCCTGTGACAGTCATCACTCAATGTCCTCACCCACCGAGCCCCCTGACCTCTCTCCCCCACCCCTTTTGTCTTCTTATTTCCTGTCTTTGTGGCCTCTCCTCCCACCCCAACCAGCCCCAGCCTCTTCACAATCACTTCCATTATTCTTGAGCCCCCTCCTCACCCCTACATCCTCCTCACTGTTAGACCCACCCACTCAGTCCCCACCACCTCTCTACAGCCCCCTGCAGCAGACCCCTTGGTCTTACTTATCCCACCCCCTCCCCAAGGGTCTTCCTTGGGCCAACCAGCCCTCAGAGCATCCCTCCACCCTCGCCACGTCCTCACACGCAGACAGCCCATCTCTTCCTTAAGTTTTCCCCCAGGTAAACCACAGAAGCCTGAAACTTCATCTTACCCACCTCCCCCTCGAATCTCCTCCCAGGTCTCTCCTGCCCTGACAGTCTCACTCAATCATCACAGACCCCCTCCCCACGAGCAGCCCACCTCCACCACCACCCCTCTCCCAGACCTTCCTGCACCGCTCCCAGCTCCCCGAATTCGTCCACATCACTGACAACAACGTGGTCTGGAACCAGGGTCCGAAACCTCTATTTCACACGATTCTTTGCGAGCCATGTAGTACTTGTTTGTCTAGGATCACCCCCAATCTAACCATCTACACCCCAAAACCATCCCTACTCTGAAAAGGGACACGGCCCGCCCCGCCCCCTCAAGTCTCGTCTCTCCGGCCCCGCCCCCTTAGGACCCTCCTTGCCCCGTACACCCACCCTCCCTTCCCTCTTTTGCCCCGCCCCCTAGGGGGGTCTAACTCAGTGACTCCCAGCCGCCCCGAGGTCTCAGACCCCCTCTTCTACCCTCCCCACCCCCTAGGACGTAAAGTCCCGCCCCCATCACGCACCCCGAGTCTGTGAGCTTCTGACCCGGTCCCGCGCTCTTGAACTTTATGTCGGCCTTGATTTCCTGGAAGAATTTCTTCATGGTGACCGGGGCCCGGCGGCGGGGAGCCGCAGGGCAAGGGGGGCGCAGGGCCCAACCGGGAGGGGCCGGTAGGTAGCAACAACCGGAAAAAAAAAAGCCCTCGCCCCCGGAAGTCCCGCCTTCGCGCACCGCCCACGTGACAATCGTCCCGGCGCGCCTCTCTAGCTCTCTGCGCCTCGCTGGCACTAGCCTGAGGCTCAGCCGTCTCACTCCGGGCCTTGGTGGTTGGTCCAGACTTAATTGCCAGGGGCGAAGAGCGCATCTCTAGCAAGAATTGTGTCTCGGCCAGGGCACTTTTTACAACGTCCCCCAAGAGTGACAGAAGAGAGATGGGCAGGCTGACTAACCGGCTAGGAGAAAGTATTGGTCCTGTTCTTACTCAAGAACCTTCCCTGGCTCTCCATCGCTTATGTGATAAAGTCCCAATTCAGCCACACATTCAAGGCCCCCACGACCCAGTTCCATTTTTAGCCCTACTCACAGCCTATTACACTACATGAGGGACCTTACAGAAGAAGATACACCGAACTAAAGGGTGGGGATCCACCACAGTGGACAAAACAAAGACGTGAATGGTGGGCAAAGGAGACAAAGTAGCATGCGAAATAATCTTGACCAAGTGGGGCTTGCATGTTGCTGTGATGCTGAAAGCTATGCCATCGGTATTTTAAATATGAGTAGGGTCACTCATAGTGGAAAGGTTTCAGCAGAGCTTCCAGATGAAGACAGACTAAGAAGAAGGATGTCTCCTAGTGTTGTGCTGTAGGATAGCACTAAACCACAAGGTTGATAGTTCAAACCCACCAGCTGCTCCTTGGAAACCCTATACAGGGTTATTATGCACTTAAAAACAACAAAGGATGGAGACGCAGAGTATTAATATTTAGCTACTGAAAATCTTATGAATGGGAGTGAAAATTATCAGATATAATATCAGAAGAATAAACACTATGAATAACATCAGATATAGTGCCCGAAGATGAGCCCCTCAGGTTGGAAGGCACTCTAAATACTATTGGGGAAGAGCTGCCTCCTCTAAGTAGAGTTGACCTTGATGGCATGGATGAAGTAAAGCCCTCAGGACCTTCATTGCTTGATGGGGCACAACTCAAAATAAAGAGAAACAGCTGCAAACATCTGTTAATGATCAAAACCTGGAATGTACGAAATAGGAATTTAGGAAAATTAGAAGTTGTTAAAAATGAAATGAAACACATAAACCCATATCCTAGACAGTAGTAAGCCCGGATAGGTACTAGCCATTTTGAATCTGACAACATATGGTTTACTAAGCCAGAAATGACAAATCGAAGAGGAACAGGATCACATTCATCAACAAATAGAACATTGCAAAATTTGCCATTAAGTATGATGCTATGAAAGGATGATACCCATATGCCTACAAGGAAAACCAGTTAATACCACTATTATGCAAATTTACACACCAACACTAAAACCAATAATGATGAAATTGAAGATTCTACCAAATTCTTCAGTCTGAAATTGATCAAATATATAATCAAGGTGTACTGATAATTACTGGTGATTGGAATGCAAAGGTTGGAAACAAAGAGGATCGGTCAGGAGTTGAAAAATACGGCCTTGGTGATAAAAATATGGCCTTGGTGATACTAGAGATGGCATGGTAGAATGAATTTTGCAAGACCATTGACTTCTTCATAATACCTTTTTTAAACAACATAAAAGACAATCATACACACGGACCTCAGCAGTTGGAGTACACAGAAATCAAATTGACCACATCTGTGGAAAGAGATGGTAGAACATCTTCATATCATCAGCTAAAACAAGGCCAGGGGCAGACTGTGGAACAGACCATCAATTGCCGCTCTGGGAATTGATGGAATACAAATTGAAATATTTCAACAAATTGATGCAGCACTGGAGGCACTCACTCATTTATGACAAGAAATTTGGAAGACAGCTACCTGGCCAACTGATTGGAAGAGATCCAAATCTGTGCCCATTCCAAAGTCAGGTGACACAAGAGAATGTGGAACTCACTGGATAACATCGTTAATATCATATGCAAGTAAAATTTTGCTAAAGATAATTCAAAAACTGCTGCAACAATGCAATGACAGGGAACTTTCAGAGACACATGCCAGATTCAGATGAGGATATGGAATGAGAGATATCATTGTTGACATCTGATCAACTTTAGCGGAAAGCAGAGAATACTATAAAGCTGAGCTCTCTTGACTGCAAAGGATTTTGACTTGTGGATCAGGACAAGTTATGGATAACATTGCAAAGAATTGGTATTCCAGAACATTTAATTGTGCTAATTAGGAACTTGTTCATAGTCCAAGAGGCAGTCGTTCAAACAGAACAAGAGAACACTGAATGGTTTAAAATTAGGAAAGGTGTACGCCAGCATTGTATTCTTTCACCATACTTATTCAGTATTTCAATCTTTCACATGCATATGAAAATACCATGGCTTGAGTCAGGTGCACTTTAGTCATCCAATTGACATCTTTGCTCTTAAACACTTTAAAGAGGTCATGTGTTGCAGATTTGCCTAATGTAATACATTGTTTGATTTTTTGATTATTGTTTTCTCAAGTGTTGATGGTGGATCCAAACAAAATGAAGTATTTGGTTACTTCAATCTTTTCTCCATTTATCATGATGTAATTTATTGCTCCAGTGATTAATATTTTTGTTTTCTTTCCATTGAGGTGCAAAGTCTTTCATCTTCACTACCAAGTATTTTAAGTCCTCTTTGCTTTCAGCAAGCAAGGTGAATCTGCATATCACAGGTTGTTCATGAGTCTTCCTCCAATCCTTTGTTGTTGTTACGTGCCATCGAGTCGGCACCAACTCATAGCGACCTTATGCACAGTAGAACGAAACAATGTCCGATCCTGGGCCAACCTCACTA